CAGGGGTCAGTACTGGGGCCTGTGCTGTTTAGCATCTTTGTCAATGATATGGTCAGTGGGATTGAGTGCATCCTCAGCAAGTTTGCTGACAACACTGAGCTGAAGGAGTAGGACTTGGAAGTGCTGGTTGATGAGAAGCTCAACATAAGCTCAACATGTGCGCTTCCAGCCCAGAAAACCAACCGTGTCCTGGGCTGTATCCAAAGCAGTGTGGGCAGCAGGTCAAGGGAGGGGATTTTGCCCCCTTGACTCTCGTGAGACCCCCACTGCAGTGCTGCGTTCAGCTCTGGGGTCCCCAGCATAGGTACATGGAGCTGCTGGAGCGGGTCCAGAGGAGGCCATGAAGATGATCCAAGGGCTGGAGCACCTCTGCTCTGGAGACAGGCTGAGAGAGTTGGGGCTGTTCAGCCTGGAGAAGAGAAGGCTCCAGGGAGACCTTCCAGCACCTTCCAGTGCCTAAGGGGGCTACAGGAAAGCTGGAGAGGGGCTTTGGACAAGGGCAGGTAGTGACAGGACACGGGGCAATGGCTTTAAACTGAAAGAGGGGAGATTTCGATGGGATCTAAGGAAGAAATTCTTCCCTCTGAGGGTGCTGAGGCACTGGACCAGGTCACCTTGAGGAGTTGTGGCTGTCCCATCCCTGGAAGTGTTCAAGGCCAGACTGAATGAGGCTTTGAGTGTAATACCAGTAATCATGTGAGAGATTGCAAAAGAAACTCCTGGATTAATGCTTGAGACAGAAGAACAGCCATTTCAGTTCAGGCTGAAGATGCATCTGAGGCAGTCTCTGCCTCACATGTTCTTTATTTAAAGACATGTTCTTTGTTCTTTGTTTGAGGTTTAGGTGAGGCATTTTTTTGCAATCTAGAGTAAAAGGTATGTATTTGCCAAGCAGCTAGTTTATGGAGAATAGTATAGTGGAAGCAAACATTTTTTTACTTCGTATATTTAGGCATTGCACTTAATAAGTCACACTTGCTGAGGAGAAAACACAATGTTTTTGATGGCAAATGGAAACTAAATGTTGGGGTTTTTTTCCCATCATGCTGTATAGCCAAGAAGAGACTTTGCAGTTGTCTTGAATAGATTTTGTTTTGCAAGAGAAAGTGGACACTGAAGAAGTAAGCAGGGAACTGGGGGGGCTCTTCCAGTTGCAGGTGTAGATCTGCAAGGCTGAAGCTCCTTCAGCCCCTTGGCAAGTGCACATTTTTCTTCTCCCCAGGGTCATCTGGTTTTTCAGTCTCATTTGATGGCTCCTGTCACCTCTGTCTCTCCCTGTGCACTGGTGCACTGAACTGGAGGCTGCTTCACAAGCAGTCCAGAGTCCAGATCTGCATTTTTGAGTTGTTGAACTCCAAAACAGGACCTGGAATCTCCTGCAATGAGTTGAGCCATAAAAGGTTGTTATAATGGACCAGATAATGTAACCATTTATGATTTCAATAAGTCCAGTAATCTTAAACCAGTGTCTTGAATCCGCTCACCAGTCTCGCACCTGAGGAGGGGCTTATCCTGCCCACTGTTAAGGGGCCAGAACTTGTGGTCCAAAGTGTTTTACCTACAGACTCCGCGGTCCAAAGCAGGGAAGCTGAAATACCTTCCTTGGTCTGTGGGTTTTGTTTTTTCAGTGCTCCTTTCAGTTGACTTTAGGATCACCATAATGCATTTTCTGCTGAAAAACTGCAGAGGTTTGTAACATGAGCTTGTGGTTTACTGGTTTACCATAGAGATGGAAAATTTTTATCCTGGACGTTTTTGTTGTTCCCAAGAAAGATGAATTGAAATCTGCAGATGGTGCCTGGTAGCCAGTTTCACATTTCATGATCAAGAACCTGTATTACAAACAAAGAAAAGCTTTTAGTCTATTTGCTTGGCACAGCTATTTGCCAGACTTCTCAGTCATGTAGGTACAGGGTCTGGTGGGATGAGGGATGTAATTCAGTGGACAATTGCAGTTTCTTGATTCCATTTATGAAATCAATTTACAGGATCAAAATCCGTTTACAAAAAGAATAATTTACAAACTCAATCCATTTTTCTACTGCCCAGAAATCATTGCAAGCCCCCAGCAGGCAGAGCAGCGAGGTGCCAGGACAAACCCACCCTGGGGAGAGCAGAGCCATGTGAGGTTCTGCACCCGCATCCCTGTGAGACCGTGTTGGCAGGGACTCGAGCTGAGCTTCAGCACACAGCCCAGACAGGGCGCTGCTGTGTCCCACGCTCGGGGGCAACGTGCTACAGAGGAACCTGCTCCCCCTGCCCCCTGTGTGGGGGCTGCCCCAGTGCCTCATCTGGAGCGACCCTCCCTAAGCTGGAGCGATGACCGAGCTGGTTGTGGGGGCTTTTGTCCGCAGCCGCTCCGACACGCCTGCCTTGTGCTGGGCACGCAGCGGGGTTCCGGGGACCCAGCGGGGGGCTGAGCTGGGCCTGCGTGGTGCAGAGGTGGCTGCGTGGCTGGGCTGGAGGAGGTACCAGAAGGAACCAAATGTGACTTGTATAACGCTGAGTCTCACCGTAGTGGCAAGGATGTGATGGCCCTGGGTGACCAAAAGCAGATCTTGCTCCGTTTTCCTCTTCTCTCCCAGAGGAAGCGTTGTGCGGCACTGCGTGTCTCAGAAACGTGCTGTGCGTGTCTGCAATTCTCAGTTCCTTCTGGGGTTTTGTACCTCGTGTTTGCAGCCACGCTGGGAGCTGTGTTTGGCGTAACCACCTGCCTCAGTGCCCAAATCCGAGAGGAACCAGATGATCCCTTGAACTATTTCATCGGAGGCTGTGCAACAGGAGCTCTCTTAGGTGCAAGAGGTAAATTTGAATAATGCCTGTAATTAAATGAGTCTCCTCTGTTTTTAGACACTTACTGGGGGGAAATGTAAAATAATCTTGATGTCAGGCATATTTGGTAAAGATTCATCTCAGCGTGCAAATTCCATTTCATGCCAGTTTTGTTGCCAGTCCATGTTTTGTTTGTTGTTTGTACAAGTCTGCTAAAATAAATACTGCTACAGAAGGAGACCAGGGATAACACCCAGCTGATTACAGAATGAAAACAGAGCTGACCCAGTACTGCCAATTATAACTACCAGTTATAACTTGAAATTGCAGGGTATGAAAAACGTAATTGTGGAAATCCATGTTTTCTGGGCAACAAATGTTATTTATTTTACATGGAAAATATAATCTGACATCTGCCTCTTGAATTCTTCGTGCACCCTGAGGGACAAGGGTATCTTGCTGCCGTTGCTCCTATGGCATCTCGTCAGGTTAGATTAGCTCCTGCAGATATTTGTACAGCTCTGTTTTCTGTAGACATTTTCAGACCAGTATTAAAGATGTTTTTTCTGGTGAAATACAATTTATCTTTACTTTTTCTAGTTGCTGAGCTGATGAGAGTTCAAAGCAGTGATTGTTATTTTTGTCACTGAAATAAGCAAGTTCAGATGTAAGGAGATGGCTTAGTGGATTATAGAAACTGGTATTTCAAACTGCAAGCTAAAAGTGTCAGAAAACCTATTTTTTTTTTTTTTTTAAAAAGTTCACTGAAATAAGCAAGTTCAGATGTAAGGAGACGGGTTAGTGGATTATAGAAACTGATATTTCAAACTGCAAGCTAAAAGCGTCAGAAAACCTATTTTTTTTTTAAAAAAAAGTCGCTTTGCTGATTTCTCTTGGCAAAGAACATTGCTGATGGTCGAGAGACTGTGAGCAGCTCATGGGAAAATGGCAGAGTCTGCCAAGATCTGCTGTACAGTACTTGTGCCCTAATAGATCTTTTGTGGTTTCCCTTGTATTTTCCAGCTCACAGTTACATGACCGGGACCACTGCGTGCCTGGGGTTTGGGATTACGGCCGCTCTCATGAAGATCGGTAACAAGGAGGGCTGGAGGCTGACGGGGCCGCCCAAGCTGTAAACTGTCTCCCTCTCAGCTGGCCTCGGAGTGCTGCGTGGGGGCAGACGTTGTGTAATAAAGATACTGTCAAATCAGCACTTGTCGCAAAATTCTGACGTTGTCCGGCTGTCTGCAGCGCTGGGGCTGAGATGCAAGAAGGGTGGAGCTGTTGGAAGCTCTGATCTGCTGCTCCTGCTGAGGTTTATTGTTCATGCGCAAGTCGCTTTGCCTCCGTGTCTCTGCACTGTGCACACCAGCTGTTCTCAGCCTCATCTTTTAGGAGTTGTTCTTGTAGTTCCGAGTGGGTCCTGCAGGACTTTTTGGCAAGGGTTGGGATTGCACCGCACTGAGACCATCAGTGGGGGTTTGGAGTCAAACTGCTGAAGAGGTGCTTGGCTTCAGGGTGAGGATGAGGAATTTGGGGTGGGGGAAGGAGGTATGGATTGCCCACAATGAGCTGTTTGGGCGTCTGGGGACTTTCTCTAAGCATTGAAGGAAATCTGGAGCCCACGACTTCAGAGTTAGAAGTGGGGAACAGCTGAGGTTGGAAGGGACCCCCGGAGATCTTCCTGCTCAAAGTTGGGGCAGGTTACTCAGGGCTGTGTCCAGTTGAATTTTCTATGTGAAACTGAAGTGTGTCCAGCAAGGCCACCACAAGGTGTGGAAGGTTGAGGCACAGGAGGCACGAGGGGAGGCGAGAACTGTGTTATTCAGCCTGCAGAAAATAAGGTCAAGGGCTGAGCTGATACTGGTTTTTCACAACTTAATGGGCTCAGGTGCACAGTAAAGGATGAGAAATAACGAGCACAAGTTGCAGAAAGGGAAATTGTAACTAGACAGAGGGAAAAAAAAATCTCACAGCTGAGGTAGGTAAGTGCTGAAAAATGGGCTTGGAGAGGCTGTGACATTGTCTCTGGGGGGATGCAGAATTCACCCAGGCACGGGGCAACGTGAGGGTACGGGGACAGGGTGTGTGGGGAAGGGCATGGGAGTTAATAGGGAATATGGGCACTGGGGGAAGCAGGGATGGGGGGGTAGGGGAACACAGAGGGGTGTGAGGGGAGAACAGGAGAGGGAGATTGGGGGACCCAAGGACAGCAGAGGAGGGGACAGAGCAATGCAGGGGGCCACGTGGTCACAGCCATGGTGGGCTGTGCTGCTCCTTCGTACGTGCTCTCTGTGGGCAGGT